TATTCCTTCAACTAGTATTTATGGAAGGCATGCATTAGGAAGGGTTCATGTAGAAAGGGACATAAAAATCAATGGAGATAGAAAGAAAGAGATCAATGGGTTTTGGCAATGCTGGGGAAAAAATTATGCTCTTCTGAGGTTTCTAGGATTTTATAGGGAAACTTTAAAAGAATTAGAGGGTTCTCATTGTGTTCCTAATGTTCATCTGTAGAGACTAGAGATTAAGAGTCAAGAAAACTTGTTAACCTGTGTGGAGAGCTGCGAAGGACCGCGCCTACAAGATGGCGCTGGTTTCCGCCTTTCACCCCTTGTGTGTGAGCGCTCTCTGTGCACAACAACTCCTTGTATGGCCAGGGCTGCAGTCATGATTCGCTTCCGCATATGCTAGACCCATGGGCGATCCCCACGTGGCGCACTGGGATTGGGCTCAGGAGTATATATTAGCCAAGGGCTGGGGGATTGGAGGAGAAGAAGCTTGCTGTAAGGGGCCTGAATAAACCGCTGAAGGAAGAGCTGTGTGTTGCGTCTTCCTTGCTGGCGAGGTCGAGCGCGACAAACCTGTGGTTCACAGTTGGGGTGGATAAATTTGGAGACTATGGGACATTTTCAGAGAATATATATGGAATAAGGAAGATCGTGAGTTAGTGGCAGTAGGTCTTTGCAATGTTTATACATCATTAAAGTTTTCTGTAGTCTTCTCGTAATTGAATTAGGAGTCCTAATGGAATGGAAGTCAATTAAGCTGTGAGGTTCTCAGAAAAGGAGGTGGAGCTTATATCCTTCTACTGCTCTTTCTTTCTGTGGGAGTAAATCTGTTGCGGGCCATGTTCTCTCACATCATGCAAGGTCTTTGCACCACGGCCCACCAGTGTGGACAACATGGCGTGTTTCAGAGACCAAGTCCTGTCCTCTAGTGTTTGCAGTGAGACAGACTGCAATGGTGTGTGTGTGTGGGGGGCACCTCTAAGGTTACAAAGCCAACAGTTCTGGGAAAGCAGGAGAAAACTGGCCCAACAACTGGAACTTCTGAAAGATTTTATTTCTAGAGCCCTGGGAGAGTTAGAGTGGCTGAAGCGCATCCCGCCCTCAAGCTTTCATGCAGAAGGAAGTTTGAATCCTTGCAAATCAGACCTCAGAGTAATATCACAATAGTAACTAAAATACGTATTATAGAAATAACATGCCTGCAAAGCATATTCGATATTAGTTGCTAATATGTACCTTTTATCTTTTGGCGTTGGCAATGAACCCAAGCCCTTACACAGGTCAAGCACATGCCGCCTCACGGAGCTGCACTGCTGTGTCTATTGTAGGGAGATACACTTCCTGAGGGAGGAACTAACTCTCTACTCTCTACAACGTGTCGTCCTCCCTCCCTCCGCTTCTACTCAGCGTAGCCTCGAACAGTGCTGCCAGGTGGGAAGCAGCCCAGGATGTGCTGTGCTCTACGATCGGTGAGCACTGCTGCCTTTCTTCTCCTATCCCAAAACCTGGCATTTTCCTTTCCTTTATTTTTTCCTTTCATCAGTCTTAGGAACCTGCGTGCATCCTTTACAAGGCCTGATTATTGGACCCGTATTCTCACTCCGTTTCCCACTTGGGAAATCCTGCCCCAGGGGTCCTACTCGGGAGCATGCAGCATGGAACTTTCTTCTTCAATATCAAACTATTTCCGAACCAAAAACATAATCCCTACTGCTTCAATCTCTTTTTATTTGTTTTATTTATCTTGTACAGGGTCTCACTACACAGCTCTGACTTATAATGATTCTCCTGTTTTTAGCCTCTCCAGCACTGGGATTACAGGTGTGCGCCACCATGCCTGAAATCTGTGGCCCTCTCAGAGGCCCCTGGGAGTGGGGGCGGTGTGGCATGTGGTGGCAGGGATTGAACCCCGCTCTCTGCGCTTGCCTGAGCAGGTACTTAGTCTGCTGAGCTATCTCACTGGCCTTTTAAATCTCTGTTTAAAATGGGATTGTTTTCCTGAGTTGTTTCTCATAGATGTCAAAGTGATTTTTGAATTTGCTTATTTTATGTGAATATCTACCTTTCCAAGGTATCTTTAGGTGAAGCAAAGATTTGGGTTGCTTGTTGTTAGTTTTGAATCTCACTGCTAGTCTACCATCCATTATTGCATGTGGGGGAAGAGGTCTGAATATCCCCACATCATGTTTACCCCAAAGCACAAGGAAGAGCGAAGATGTCATCCAAACCATTGTTTTCCTATTTTTATTTTCATGTTGACTGACCTCCTAACGAAGAGAAAATTTTTTTTTATTTTTTTTATTTCTGCAACCTCTGCCAGCACTGAAATGGATCAGAGAATCAGGTTTGTCTTTTGCTTACATTCAGGACAAGCACTCGGAAGACCTGCTCATTTCCAGGAGAGAAGTTTCCATGGAAACTTGGGCAAAGGCAAAGCAAAATAATTTCAGCCCCACCAGAAAAAAAAAATTCCTCCTTGCTTTTTATTTGCAATGTGGCCTCCCCTGAGTAGTTCAGTTCGTTGGCCCTGCCCTGGCTCACTAGGAATCCTCTATTTAAAATTTATATATAGCATTGTGAATATCAGAAATCTGCACAATAGGATTTGATGAATATGACTAAGAGGTTTTTCTGAAGAAAGGATCAAACCCAGAGAATTAATATTTAGAACATTAAAGCATACATTTAAGTGGTCACTGAATTTATAAACATGGAATTTCCCATCAATAAAACCCTTGAAATAGATTTTTACAGAAGAAATTTTATGACAAATAAATTATTGGAGACAATTTGATATTTCAAGAGAACTTCTAGCAGGAAATAAAGACCAGGTTGAATGAGTTCAGATAATTTTTTGTGATAAACAGAGGTCATAGGGTGTATATGAATTCCTTTGGAAAATGATGTCTCTCCATTGGTTTACAAAGTCCTTATGTGGCACGCCATCTTGTTATCCTTGTGGCTTCTGTGGCACTGAGCACAGTACTTTGGTACTCTTTTGGGGGTGAGGTCAATGAAACGAAGAGGAACCATCTCTCCAGAGTTCTTCAGCATTGGAATCAGAAACAGAGTCTGCTCTGCTTCGTGGGCACACCTACTAGCACTTTCATGAACGAGTGGTTACGATTCACATCTTTCTTTTCTTTCTTCAATTTGATCACAATCATGTTCAGAAATACATTTCTCCTTTGCAGTATTATTCCAGGAAACAACTTCTGTGTAATATTCCAGGTGCTGTTAGGCACGTACCCTCCAGGAGCCCATAAAGGAAAGCCAGATTAAGGGACATGAAATGCAACAACACAAAAGACAACAAACATGACAATGACTGCACAGACTTCTTCCAGGTTTCATGGCAGTCAGGAGCAGCACCAGGGACTTTAGCTCAGTGGTGACTGCCCTTCGTGGGTGAGATCAGTCCAACACGCATCTGTAGAGAGGATTTGACCATCTCCCTGCCCTTGATCCTCTCCATGTGTTTAGAGTTAATAAAGGCTTTCCCTCCTTCTAAAAAAAAAGTGTCTGTTCACAGTTTACATCCTTCAAAACTCAGAGCAAATGTATATAAAAATACAGGGCTAGAACACCAGCTGAATAGCTCAGCAGATTAAAGCACCTGCAAGTAGGCACAAGTGCCAGGGGTTCAATCCCCGGGCCTGCTGTGCCATCTCTGCCCCCAGGGCACACTGAGACAGTTGAGACTGGGCACGGTGGTGCGCACCTGTAATCCCAGCTCTTGGGAGGCTGTAAACAGGAGAGTCACTATGAGTCTGATCCAGTAATGAGATCCTGAACACTCTGTAGACCCTTCCCTAAAAAAAATACAGAAATAAGTAAATAAATATCACAGGGCTATGGAACAATGCCAATGTTTCAGGTGCATAGTGTGGGTTCTAATGTAGGCAACCAGGAAGGCGAGCCCAGAAACAGCAGAAACTAGATCCTCACAAGCTTTGTGGACACCTAAGGGTGGGAATCCTGTCAGAAGGTAGGTAAGCACTGTAAGCGGAAGTACTGGAAATAGAAGACCACTTGGGAGAGAGACGGGGCAGTAGCAGTGAGAAAGGTGAAGGACTCAGGTATGGCTGTGCAGACCAAGAGGGAGAGGAAGCCAGGCCTAGAGGATCAGGGAATCTGGGAACCAATCATCTTATTCACCAGGAAGATTGCCAAGTGTGGTGTCTGGAATCCTGGTTGTGCTGTAGTGCCAGCATTTGGAGTCTCAGGCAGGAAGATTGCTGTGAGTTCAAGGCCATCCCGGAATACACAGTGAGTTCAAGGCCAGCTTGAACTACTAATTGAGACTCTGGCTCAAAAACAAAACAAAACAAGTGAGAGAGCGAAAACCCACATCCCTCCTCCACCAGCAGATGGAGGACATAATTGATGGGGAGTGAAGGAGGGAGCTCCCCAGGCTTGGGGAGAATCACAGGTCCTCTGCAGGTGCGATCAGTCTTAGCTTTCCTTTTCTAAGCCTTGGATAGCATTTTCCTAACAAGATGTACTCAACAGTAATGTAAATGTGCTGTATGCCGGAATGGGCCCCTGGGAAGGAGCGATTTCTCAGTGTGACACTGGCTGGGGGTGGGGATGGATGCAGAGAGACTTTTGGCAAAGAGAGTTCCTCAGACAGGACAGGTGAGGCAGCCAGGGAAGATTCAGTGAAGGATACATGGCGAGAGATCCTGAGGCAACAAAGAGTTTCTTAGCTTGTCTGTGTTTTCTTGCTCAGAAATTAGGTATCCATACTTCTCTAAGGAATGTCTTTCTTCTGCTAATTTGTAGAAAGGTCACAATTACTAGAGCTTGCAAAAGTACAGTTGTTACGTGTCCCCAGTTCCTATAGGTTCACTCATAAGCAGACCTTCCTGCTTGTAACCCCATAGACTGACCTCAGCTTGGTTGCTGTAATCATTTCTGTGTATAAAACACCCTAGACAAAGAGTTCCAGGGTCAACCCACTAGGGTCCCCTCCTGGGCTCATTTTAACCAGGGGCATTTTGCTTTTGCTTTATAATAAATGTTGCTTTCTGCTTTTGCTCTGCAATAAATACTTTCTTTCAGGTCACTTTTGACTCCCGACCTTATTATTCTTCCTGGGTTGAGAGAACAACCCACAACCAGGTGGCAACATTTGGGTGGGCGTGTTAATAGGAAACGATGGCTGTAGTGGATTTCAGATTTCTAGGTCAGGCACTGGGAAAATGATGTCATTGTGAAATGAAATTAGTGTGTTTTGGCTTAGAAATATCCTCCAGTGTCTTACATGCTATTTTTGTCAGGGTTTGCAAAGGCATAGATTTAATACAGGACACATAATTTATAGGATTGTTTTATAATATCCACACAAAAGTCAAATGCAAAGGCATGCAAGAGATCTGTCCATGCACTAGAGATCCCAAGAATCCACCTGACAGCCTTGACCCCATGATAATTTTCTGCATGAATCCAGCTGGAGGCTAGAGTCCACAGCAGTGTCTCATGCAAGTCTGTACCAAGGGCCTGCACTGGGAAGGCCCAAAGGTCAGGGGTGGCAGCTGGAGAGTCTATACCAGCAGGGTGAAGGATCTGTGCCACAGGCTGAGTGGTGTGCACTGGAGCCAGGAAGTGGCCCTCATAGTGAGAACCAGAGCTTCCCCGAAGAGAACAGCAGCCGTCCTCAGTGACAGTGAGGGCCTGAGCTCCTCTTATGATGAGAACAGCTCAGGTCATACCAGGAAAACAACCAGGACAAACATCTCCGGCAAACATCTCCGTCTTCCCCTCCAGGTCTCCATTCATGCTGTTGACAGCAATCCTCAGGTGGGCCTGCCACACCCCAAACCACGCTGACTCAGTTCAGCTGGGAGTTCCAAGTTGACCATTAGTTAATCCATTACGTGTGCTAAACATTTGGTTACCGGCCTGTGGCACCATTTATCAGGATAGGGTAGCAGCTTCAGCAGGGAGTTAGACCACTGGGGATATGCCCTTGAAGGGGATACTGGGACCCTAGCCCCTGCTTTTCCTTATTTCTCTTTGCTTTCCTGGTGCCATAGTAAATAGACCTCTACCACATGTGTCCACCATGATGTACTGAGCGACCACAGGCTCAAAGCAGCAAGGCCACTGACCACATTCTGAATCTCTGAGCCAAATAAACGCTCTTCCTTTTGTTTATCTCAGGTCTATGTCACAGAGACAAAAAGCTGACTAACATGTATACAAGAGGCAGGAACTTCCCCAAAGATTAAGGATATGGATTTATTTTGTGCTGTCTTCCTGCTCATGTAACCTCAGGCAAGGTTCTTCACTTTCAACTTCAGATCCTTGATAGGACAGAATGAGATTACTAGTGTTTATAAGTCATACATACATTTTCCTAACCCATATTTTTGGAGCATGTATTATGTGCCAAGGTGAGGGATTCACAGGTGTCTTAGGCAAAGTTTCTGTTCTCTGTTGGATGAGTGGGATAGTAGACAAACGGAAAACTGAACTGTAGATTTGGAAGAATGATTTGAAAGAAACAAAAGGGTCAATGTGACAGTGATAGATGAGTGGAGAGTTCTACTTTTGCTATGTTCCTAGGGAAGGCTGACCTCTGTAAGGGAGCCACAGACAGCTATTCAGAGTTGAGGAAGAGAATCCCAGATCCTGAGAACAAATGCAAAGACCTGAAGTAGGAACGCAGTTTGTAGGATGGTACACACTTAACAGTTCTTCACATATATGCAGCATAGAATAAATGATGAAGACTAAGCACAAGAGAAATGATAAACTGTGGTTAGCAGCACAATGCTGCTGCAGAAAACTAGCCTCATAAATACCTCTTTCCATATATCACATGCAGTGGTCCAAACAGCATTTAAAATGACCCTTTTTAGCTGAGGGGGCACAACTTGCGTGGACTCCCAGCTACTTGGGAAGCTGAAACAGGAGGATTGCATGTTCGAGGGCCAGGTGAGGCAGCACAATTTAGCAAGCCCCAGACTCAGATAACTTGAGTTAAGGTAAGATAAGGGGTAAGGCAAGAAATATGTATCTGTGTACTTCCATATAGAGAGAGCCACTTACAGAAATATTTTAATATTTAAGAAGGCAAAAATTGTGAGTGGGGGAGGGTAGGATATGGAGGAGTTTTGTTAAATGTTAAGGTTTGTGTGTCAGGAATTCTTATAGGGAATCCCTCTATTCTTATGATTACTGTTCTCCTCACATTTTTCTTTCCTTGTTTTTTTTTTTTTTTTTTTTTTTTTTTTTTTTTTTTTTTTTGTGCAGGGTCTCACTAGGCTCACAGTTGTAATGATCTCCTGATTTTTGCCTCCCTAGTTCTGGGATTACAGGTGCACCACCAAGCCCAGACTCCACTGCTGGCTCAGCTCACCCATGGGTGGGCCCTGTGCGGCACGCGGTGCCAGGGATCGAACCCTGGCCCCTGCACTTACCTAAGCAAGCACTTAGTCCGCTGAGCTATACCACCGGTCCTTTTTTGTTTTCAAATTAGTTTTTTTTTTTTTTTAAAAAACTTCCACACATGAAATTGAAAAGATGGGTGGCTGATAAGTGCCTTTTTGAAGCCTGAAATTCATACAACCATATATAGAAAACTCTGCTAACCTTCACCCTTTTAGTAGAAATCTCTATTATTAGTTACTTCTTTATATTTTTCTGTGCAGTGAGAGAAGATATATCATTTAAATGATCACAAAAGATCACTCAGAATAGACTGGCATTTAAAAAAGTCACAGCAGATGTAGCTCAGTGGTAGAGCTCTTGCCTTGCATACACGCAAGCCTGGGTTCTAGCCCCAACACTGACCAAAACAAATTACAAATGCTAAGTGCTATATAAGGGAATGATTAATTAACTATCCCATTTTAGTGTTCAAACATTGTACCTGTGAGTTTATTGTGGTGTGTGCAAAAGAAAGAAGGACTTCTGTAACACACCCACAAAGGTGTCTGTATCCTAGTTATGAAATATATGTGATATTTTCTTAAAGGAGAATGGATAGTACGGGCTGGCCAAATTGCTCAGCGGACTAAAGCACCTGCATAAGCAGAGCTCAGGGGTCAGGGTTTGATTCCCGGTGAGTTATGCCAGCCCCGCCTCCAGGGTGTGCTGAGAAGGCGATTGAGACTGGGCATGATGGCACATGCCTGTAATCCCAGCACTTGGGAGGCTGAAAACAGGCGAATTACTATGAGTCTGATCTGTGTAGTGAAACCCTGTAGACCCTGTGTTAAATACATAAAAAAGGATAATAGAAGTGAATTTCAAATAGGTGGTAGTTATAAATTAATAACAAGAAATATGAAAGTAGTATCAACTTTAGAGAAAGATTTGTATTAAAATACACTGATCACAAGTGAACATTTTAAACATCAGAGAAATAAAGCAAAAATGACACAGCAAAGCAGACATTAAAATCACACAAAACAGGAATAAGGCCACTCAAGGACTGGGTGAATGACAACCTCTGCGACTGTCTGAGGGAGTCCCAACAAAGAGCTGATCAAGATAAACAGTCTATTTAAGTGCAGCTGGAAAATTCTCTTTCGGCCAGCAACTGGCACGATTGTTGCCATTCATAGAGCACTAAGTAAATGTCAGAAATTGAGTCACTGGGAAGCTGCAGTGACAGACAGTGACCTACATTCTCAACACTTTTCAAAAAATTCTTCCCTGGGCTATTAAATAGATGATGTTTAATAGTGTTACGAAGCTAAAGGAAAATTACAAGAGGTTGGTGTTTAAACAGGGACCCGCTGTTTAGTTGGTGATTCTTGAGGGGACCTGTCTGTGGTGCTTGTGCGCCAGGTGCACTATGTTTCTGTGAAGTCATGCGGATAGGATCCTGAATCACCCTGTTTCATGGATAAGAGAAACAGGAGCTTCGCAGGAGATGTGGAGTGTGCAGCTACATTTCAAGGCTGCCATATCCTAGCCTAGGCAGTGCCTCGTAAAGTCCCTTTGTGCCTTGGGCAACTGAGGAAGTGTATCTTTACATCTTAAAGGGACTTTACACCATCAGGTTGCTCTGCCGAAATGAAGGTGGGTAGTCTTTCTGCATCCCCATCTCCAGCTTCGTCACACTTAACCGTGGCTGTCATCCAATTCTTATTAACTCTGTTCCTTTATTAGTGGGTGTCTTCCAGCCTGCCACTGTAACTGGCCTTGACTTTGCCATTTGGTTGTATCTTTGCCTCTTAGATCCAACTGAACAGTCTTTTGAACTAATGCCACACACTTGCCTGTTCTTAGCCTTGCTACGCCCAGCCTCCAGGCTAGAGAATTTTAGGCACACCACAGAATACCACTGCAGGAAAGAGCCTTTAATCAACCTCTAGGCCCTGATGCCAAATGCCACATGCCCCTTAGAGAGGAACAAAAATAGATCATTTCAACATCCTTCAAGTTAAAACATGTTCATAGCAGATTCTCTGGATTTTAATGACTACTCAGATTTCAGCAGCGATATAAACTGTGCAGCTACTGTGTAAGGAGCAAGGCACCTTATTATATCTGGAGCTACAGATTATCTGGAGAATAACCTACAAACTACATACTGTTTATTAGGAGTGTACATTAATTATGAACCAGAAAAAGGGAAATTAATTTGTAAACATCACTGTAAAATATAATTGATGTATCAAGAGTAATTATAAGTCATTAATAATTCTCTGATAAGTTATGAAATTATTTTTTAGACTAAAAAATACTCATGGTGACCTTAGATATACAAAATGTAGTTATGATGGGAAATACCTAAATCCTATCCTCCTTGATTTAGTTATGTATCAGATATGTCTGATATCGGTTTCTGTTGCTGCTTCTCCCAGAAAACTGTGAATATCCTTTTTTGGGTCTAAACACCCGTTCCCCTGCTTCTTTGCTGAGAGTTTTGCCATGAACAGCTGTTACCCGCAGTCCTTTTCCAAGACTATGTTTGGGTTACTAAGATGCTTTTCCCAGCAGCTGAGTGGCAGGATTGCTGGAAGTGCCACCACCATTTCCAGGCTGGGCTGGCCCAGTGTGCATTAGGACAAAGCCATGTTCCAAAGGAGGACACACTGTAGACTATGGTCATAGGCACCATAGTGTACATTAGTGTCATAGACACAATTTCGAAGTCATTCCAAGAAGCACACTTCTCAGGTCTTTACGTGTTTGAAGCAGGATGCATGTTATAATTGATTTATTGAGCAGACATTCCTTGTTTAACAATGAAGCCCCATTCCTGAGGCCAGGTGGTTAAACGATTTGGTCACTAAATGAGGCAATGTAGGCTTTGTATAAAGTATCTACATTACAATATTCAAGACAAAGAAATGGTCAAAGATAACCTTAGCTTGGTGATTTTAGATTTTTTTTTTGCATAACTTTTATGTGCAGCACTGTAATGTGTAACAACATAAACCTACAGTACTACATGATTATACAATACAGTCAGCAAAAATGACCGAACTGTATAAGCAAGGTGTACTGTACAAAAATGAGACATTAACAACAACATGTATGGAACAGTACCAAAAAAGATGGGCCATACATCTGAACAGTCCCTAAACAGGTAGGTCATAAAATGAGGATTTCTTGTACTCTGAGTGGGAGGTAGTGAATAGCTGATGCGGAGCTAGAGCTAATGAACTTAAGAACTCGAAGAGAGAGCACAAAATCTACTTGGGAACAACAAGCTGGCGCAGTAAGTTTCTGACTTATGAACATTCAAGCTGTGAACTTTCGCAGATACGAATGGGCCTGACACTATGAACATTCATAGATGTGAATAAGTCACAGAAGCAGCTCTCGGGTGGGCCCGACATCGTCACAGTTGTGCTGCTGTGTGCGCACCACACCGGGCAGTAACACACAGTAGTGCAGAGCTCAGTCTGAGCACAGGGAGTCTGAAGCAAGGGGAGAAGCAGGGGTCCTGTGGAGGGGCCCGACAGGACAAGCCAGGCATTCACCATGGAAGCAAAGGTGAAGATGATTCATAGGTGACAACGAGGCCACACGACGGTAGACGCTGCTCTGCCATCTCTCGCCTGCCCTCCCTCCTCCATAGTAGCTCTATTCTTGTCAGCGTAGTCCACACCATTCCCTTGATGCCAGTTACTGTACTGTATGGAGACACCTCTTTAAGGTACTGTAACAGTAAACATGGTTTATGTGCAGTATTTTTGTGTGTTTGGTTTTTTTTTTATGCTTTCCATTGTATATTTGCATCAAAGGTGTATGAGATTCACTTTTTCTGATTTATGAATGAATCTGACTTGCAAACTTTTCCCAGCGCTGATCCCATTTGTAAGTTGGTGCTGGAGCATAACGTGAGGGAGCTTGTGCTATTGTTTTGAAGATATCGTGAGCATATCTTCTGGAAAGAGAGGCAAATTATAGTTCAGCAGGAATCACTTCTACTATGTGTCTCTCACTGAACTAGGTTTTCTGTCTCAAGGAACTCTCTTATTCTCTAATAACTGGTTTGGCCAGGAGAAAGCAGGCTCAGGAAGAACTGTCCCCTGCAAACAGCCACTCTGGCTGTTGCGTGTGGGGAATCTCTGCGTTGATCAGCATCAAGATGGTATTATAGCAGCCAATTTCGAAGACTTCTATTTTATCAGAAGATAAATCTGCACTGTAGGAAGAAAAGACTAGCATTTAGAGCAGCAGATGAATAAGTCCAGACTCAATTCAATAGCTACAAAATGTTGAGCAACCCACTTAACTTTAAAAAAAATAATTGTTAAAAAAAAATCTATCACTAATAACACACAATATAATATTTGATCATAAAATACATGTAACAAACATTAGGCTCTCTCCTTTTAGCCATAATCCTTTATTTTCCTTATAAAATTTGTCAGCAATAAAAACTGATGCCAAGGAAACAAATCCAGGAACTTTGGAGCAGTGGTCAAATTCAGGGCCGAGCTTTGCTCTGGGCCACCAGGACACCCTCATCAGTCACTAGAAAAGAGTGGCCACCAAGAAATGCACTTCGCAAGCTTGGCCTCTGAACAATGCTCCTTTCCAGGGCAAGTCTTGGGGTGAAGCGGTGTCACAGCTTATCTCTAGATGTCTCCCGGGAATGTCTTGTGCTCACAGGCAGGGATTGGGAAAGTGGATTGGATGACGCAGGTTTATAGCTGACTTGAGTCACTGGGAGGGGGAGGGCGGCAGAGCATGGCTTGGATGCGTTTATCTCCTGTGCCGGTCCTTGGGCAGCTGCTCCTCTGCCACACTGTCCTGCCCTGGAGCCACCATACTGTGAATTGAAGCTTTTATAAACTGTGAGCTGAAATAAGCCTCTCTTCCCTTTAAATTGTAAGTGTTGGCTGCTGTATCTCAGCCATGAAAACTGACTAATGGGGAGAGAAGCTACAATTTGGGATTAGGGCTGGAGCTGTGGTCATAGAGAGCCAGACAGACCATCTGCAGGGTCTTTAATCTGTGCATCAAGCCATCATCTCTGCAGTCAGACCCAGTATTGGAAGTTTCCCCCAGTCAAATACTGTTTAATCATAATTTATGTCACCAGTTTTACTCCTTTGTAAGTGTCATATGGAGCTACCAAGCTGCATGGAAGAGCGAAGATTATCACTCTGGACTGATGTAGTTCATTCACTCTGTCCTTTCCACATCCTCTCCCCAAATATCTTATGCCTCTTCTGTGTAGCAGTGGGTACAAGGACAGTGTATAAATATTGTGTGTCCTTGTTAGGAGGCATTTTACTCTTCAGCGGAACTAAACTAAACCAAAACAAAAAGTACTATGTTCTGATCGAGAAGTGTGGAGAGCTGCGAAGGACCACGCCTACAAGATGGAGCTGGTTTCCACCTTCCACCCTCCGTGGGTGAGCGCTCTCTGTGCACAACAACTCCTTATATGGCCAGGGCTGCAGTCATGATTCGCTTCCGCATATGCAGGACCCATGGGCGATCCCCACGTGGCGCACTGGGATTGGGCTCAGGAGTATATATTAGCCAAGGGCTGGGGGATTGGAAAAGAAGTAACAAGATGTAAGGGGCCTGAATAAACCGCTGAAGGAAGAGCTGTGTGTTGCGTCTTCCTTGCTGGCAAGGTCACGCACAACAAGTGGTGGCCCGTACGGGGACTCCATCTCAAGCCATCAGCTCAGAACCTTCAGTGGTCAGGGGGTGCACCGGTAAGTCCCCGGGTAAGTTGGGGATCCACGACAAAAGTGGAGTTTAGGGATCCTATCTGTAGATAAAGAAGGAGCGCCAAGGTTTGCCTACGAGCAAATCCAGTTTGCCTACGAGCGAACTCCGAAGTGAAAGTATAAGTTGAATCATGGGTGCGTCTACTTCGCACCCAATTTTTTGGCTCTACAAGAGCTACTTCATTCTAAAAAGCTTAAACTAAAGAAGAAAACCTTAGAGAGGACAGTCCAGTCGGAGCTTTCCTTGGCGTATCCTGTTTTTCAGGACGCCCAAGGTAATAGATACCATGATCCCCTGGACTTCAAGACGATAAAGTCCTTGGCTAAATCTGTTAGAACCTACGGCATTTCAGCCGCATTCACTGTCTCCCAGGTGGAAGCCTTTAGCCACTACTGCATGACCCCTGGGGATTGGAGTGGTGTAGCCCAAGCGTGCTTAAGCCCTGGGCAATATCTTGATTGCAGAACCTTTCTAATTGAGTTTGCAGGTGAGGAAGCAGCTGCCAATCAAGCTGCATGTAACCCTGCATGGAATAGAGTTATGCTGTTAGGTCAAGGTCGCTTTGCTAATCAGTACAGTCAACTGTGAATATAACCAGCGAAAAGCAGTTCCCCATTTCCTCATCCCCTTGCCTGCTGTCCCCCTTTTATCTTTGTAGTGTGGAATGGAACTGGGGGAGGAGAGGGTAAACTAAATTGTTCAGTTG